CACTCAGGCACCCCCGGTCTTTCTGTGACCCCGAGGGTCCTGAGACCCCACTGTCCCGCAAGGGTTCCACCCCCCGCTTAGCCACCAGAGTGACGTCCCTCAGCCGAGGCGACTTCTAGAAGTTCCGATTTTGTGCTCCACGGCTCTATCACTTGCCAGAAGCGGCCAACGGAGGCTCAGACCCCCGCCGTCTAGCTTCCCGAATATCACCTTGGATTCCCTTCTCTGCACGTCCTACCTTCCAGAAAGTGGTCACTTTTCTGTTCAGAGGGTTGCTGCTGTTCTTTTCTTCAATCTCCTGTTGAGTTCGTAGGTGTTCAGAATGGTTTGATCCCTATCTAGCTCAATTCCCGGAACCGGATGAAATATAGGTCTCCTACTTCTCTGCCATGTTGCTCTTGTTGGTTGGTTCTTGATGTTGTTCTCCCATCAAGCCTTCACCTCCAAATTTGGGGGGATGGGGTGGGGCCCCAGACCCTCTCTTCTTTTCCTGGGACCCAATAAGGTGAGTGGCAAGATGGCTGTTGGTGTCTTTTTTTTTCTTATGTACAAAACTCCTCAGTGTTTTTCAGTGCCTTCTTCCCCTCCCCCTTCTCTCCCTCTCATGTCCTGGACCTTAGATCCAAAGCATTGAGTTTCTCACATTCAAATTCATGGCGCACACATGCAATTATGGCCTTCTCCCATTTTAGAGTGTTTTCTGCCTCCATTTCACACTTCCCACCCTCCTCTCTGAAGGCACCCTCTCTGTGCTTAATATATGTCTTTTGATTTGCATCTTTGAAAAATGCAAAGTAGTTTTTTGGGGCCTTCTGTATGTTTATATTTGCCTAATAGTATTACAGTTTAGATTTCTTTTCTTCCCCCCATAAATTGTTTTCATTTGGCATGGAGATTGGCAAACGACCCCACCGACCCAATGCAACCACAGCTTGTTTCTGTAACTAAAGTTTGGTTGGAACACAGCCGCCCCAAATCACTTGCACATTGCCTGTTGCTATTCCCTCATTGCTACAGTGGCAGAGACCATCTGGCCTGCAACGCTGAAAATATTTGCTATTTGGCCCTTTATGGAAAAAGTTTATTGACCTCTCTGACTTAGCACAACATTCTGTTATTTTAAGTCGTAGTGAAATATACATAACATAAAATTTATGGTGTTCACCATTTTTAAGCGTGTAAGTTAAGTAGTGTGAGGGACATTCACACTGTAGGGCCACCATCACCAGCATTCATCTCACAGAACTTTTTCATACCGCAAAACTGGAACTCTGTCCCCATTAAAGAGAAACTCCCGTTCCCCCTCCTTCCGTCCCCTGGCAACCACCATTCCATCATTCCGCTTTCTGTGTCCGACTTTGACTCCCCCAGATACCTCATATAAGTGGAATTATATACAGTATTTGTCTTTTTGTGTCTTAGCATAGTGTCCTCAGGGTTCATCCTTGTTGTAGCACCTGTCAGACCCTCCTTCCTGTTTTAAGGCTGAATCATACTCCATCGTATGTCTGTATCGCGTTCTGCATATCCACTTATCTGTCGATGAACATCTGGGCTGCTTCCACCTCTTGGCTTTTATGAATAATACTGCTGTGAACGTGGGTGTGCAGATACCAGCAGACCTGGAGGTCATGCTTTCAAGTCTTTTTATGTATACTCAGAGGTGATATTCCAGATCATATGATACTTTTGTTTTTAATTTTTTGAGGAACCACCACACTTTCTTTCTGTAGTGGCTGCACCACTTTAGATTACCCCCAGTAGTGCACAAGGGTTACAGTTTATCCACATCCTCACCAAGACATGTTATTTTTTGTTTCTTTTTTAAAGAAGTCATTCTAATGGGTGTGAGATATCATCTTACTATGATTTTGATCTGCATTTCCCTAATGATTAGTGATGTTGAGCGTTCTTTCATGTGCTTGTTGGCTATTTGTGTATCTTCTTTGGAGAAATGTGTATTCAAGTCCTTTGCTCATTTTTTAATTGGATTGTTTGTTGTCGTTCTTTGTATATTCTGGTTATTATGATATCCAGATATTCTTATCAGATACATGATTTGCAAATATTTTTTCCGTTCCGTGGGCTGCCAGATTCTGTTCTGTTGATTGTGTCCTTGGATGCACAGAAGTTTTAAATTTTGATGTAGTTGGAAGGATCTGTTTTTATATTAGTTGCCTGTGAGCAGTACATTTTCAGATCTAACCATATTGCCATATATGCATCTGGTGTTCTGCTTTTAACTGTAATACGCATTGATCATAGTTTGCTTCTCTAGCTTCCCAGTGATGATCTCTTTGATGCCCCCAGTAGCCCACAACCACAACCTGTCTCAGTGAACAGCCTGCATGTGTTCTTACAGAGCTCTCTGAAAGTCTCTCTGCCACTTATACCCAGGTGTGAAATGTGTGGGTGGGAGGGCATATACATACTTCAGTTTCACTACGTATTGCCAGGCCTATTCCCACCATCTCGAACTCTGGTCTTATTTGACCTCTTTAAATGTATTATTTTTCTGGACAACTATGGTTACTCCCAGTCTCTGGCCATTTGGAGGAGGCAGGCATGTGAAATAGAGTTGTTGGCATCAGAGACTGCTGCAAGGTAAAAGCTGTTTTCTTTCTTCCCTGTTCTCCAGGTTGGACTTGGGACTGTTTGCAGGAATGGGGCTCCTACATCCAGCTGGCTATTCCCAGTATGTTCATGGTGTGCATTGAGTGGTGGACCTTTGAGATCGGAACTTTCCTTGCAGGTTTGTCAACAATCCAGTAGAAATCCCAGAATAGCCTGGCCACTCTTGTCTCCAGAGCTTCTCAAGAGACATAGGCCTTACTTCTCCTTCCTTTCCATTGTGTCAAGCGCTCATGGAAGTTTCAACATAGGTTTAAACCCTTGTTTGACCGTAAGCGTGTTCAAGTTGAGTGGGGCTTAGGTTGGCCTCACTGCTCTTCACTTTATAGGTTCGGAAAGGGAGGTCGCAGTTAAAAAAAAGGTTTGGCAAGGTCATGGGGAGGGAGAACAGAAACCCGAATCTGGGTCTCCTGACTCACTCAGACCCTCTGCTTCTGCTGACTTTTGCTAGGCATCATTCAAGTGTTTAAACCATTTACAAACACAGAGTGACTGATTTGGCTCTATCAGCTATAATAATTTCAGTCATAGGTATTCACCTTAGCCATCTTATTGCTAGTAAAGTAATAGAGGAAATAATAGAGACAGAGGATGATAATGATTGATGTTACAGTTTCTGGGGACAGTTGAATACTCCAGTAGTCCCACCACGTCTATACAGAGTTCCATACCCTCCGTTCTTCCCCTCCCACGTTGTGACCCTACAGCTCCCCAAGCAATGACCTGCAACTCTAGGAGCCTCGTGGTTTTCTACTTTAAACCTGACGTTTTGTTCCTTGGTGGAACAGGGGCTTATGGGTTGAACCTGTATCAGGTCTTAGCTGCCCTAGTTCTTGGAAGCTTTCTGGAACTGGACATCTGGGGCTCTCCTCAGCACAGCCTGGATAGTGAATTGTGCCATTGGGTTATGCTTCTGGGACCAATCCTGGCTTCTTTTTAAATTCTTTTTTTTTTTTTTTTTAAGATTTATTTATTTGAGAGAGTAAAAGAGAGCATGTGAGTCGGGGGGAGGGGCAGAGGGAGAGAGCCTTCAAGCAGACTCCTGCGGTGCTCAGTATCATGACCCTGAGATCATGAGCTGAGCGGAAACCAAGAGGTGGACACCTAACCAACTGAGCTATCCAAACACCCTCTCGCTTCTTTTAAATTAAGATATATTCTAGTTTCCTAAGGAAAATGTTTGCTTTAGCTCACTTTCTAAGATGTGTTTTATGTGTGTCTGTGCCAACATTTCAGGACTGATTAGTGTGACAGAGCTTGGGGCCCAGGCCATCATTTACGAACTGGCCTCTGCAGCCTACATGGTAAGAACCTTCGGGGTGAGACCCAGCACCTTCTCTGCATAAACTCTGCTGGGCCATTGTCACTCATCCATTCAGCCTGCCATCCCATGCCATGCGCTGAGGAGAGAGGAGAGGTAGACAGCAGGAGAGGGAGCACAGCATACTTGGGGGGGGGTGTGGATTTTGGAGCCAGATGCTGGGTTTGAGTCCTGCCGTGCTGCTCCCCAACTGCAACTATGGGCTCATTACTTAACCTTCCTGAGCTTCAGTTTTCTCATGTACAAAATGGGAAAAAAATAATACATGTGTAGGGAGTGAAGACTGAATAGGATAGATAATGTGTTAAAGCACTTAGCACAATGCCTGGCATGTTTATTCAACAAATATGGAGTTGGTGCTAGGGTACGATAGAGAGAGAGATGGAGACAGTCCCTGCCTTCTCGTGGCCTGTAGTCTGGTAGGGAGACAGAGACAAAGAAGTAAACAGATACATGAAGGCATTCCAAACATATATGGCACGTACCATAGAAGAAGCAAAAAAAAAAAGTCTGAGATGCATAAAAATAGAGATGGGTGCCTTTTTAGGGAAGGCAGTTGGAAACAGTCCTTCTGGAAAGGGGAGAGGGAGCCAGCCCGGGAAGCCGGAGGCTGAGAGCTGACTGCAGAGCCTGAGCAAAGGCTCCATGCTGGAAAAGGGCACATGGTGTGTTTAGGGACCCGAAATAGGAACCGGGCTGAAGGGATTCGTGAGGAAAGAAAGGTGTGACCTGTAGAAGCTGGCTTAGGGGAGAACAGGTGTTCGGCGGGGTTCTGAAGGAGGCTACTGGAATCACCCAGGTGAGCACGGAAGGAAGCTGCTGGTGGATGGGGAGAAAAGTGGGTGAGTTAGTTGTGTTGTAGGGCAGAATTGGTAGGACATGACCAGGGTTTGGATGTGGAAGGCAAGGCAATGAATAGGAAGAATCACAAACGGCCCCCGAGTTTCTGGCTTGAATAACCGCCTTGTACCTCTTGATTCTTTTGGAATATTCCAAACCTGTGCAGATACTCCTCCCCCCTCTTTTTTTTTGATTCTTCTTTTTTTTTTAAAGCTCAACAAAGGCCATCTGGGCAGTGGGATTATGGGCCATTTTTGTTTCCATGTTTTTTTCTTTTATTCTCAAAAATGAAAACGGGTTTTTTTTAGTGGGGATTCATGACATCGTTAAAGAATAAAAAGGGTGAGTGTCGAGGAGCAAATCCCAAGATGTAGAAGTCAGGAATAGGACAACTCAGCCAAGAGGGAGGATAGGCCAGTGTGGAATGAAGAAAATCAAGAGAGCGTGTCATGCAGGAAGCCAGCAATGAAGAACCATTCATGGAAGGAATGACAGTTGGGTAGAGGGTTACTGCGGGGTCCCATAAGGTGAGGATGGAAAGTGTCCCTTAGCTTTCAGGTCATCGGAGACCTTAGATGGGAAGTGAGAACCATGGTGAAGGGGCAGAAGCTGCTGAGGTAGACAGTTCTGCCTGGAGGTTTGGTAGTTGATGGTGAGAAAGAATCCCATCAAGGGAGGGTTTTGGTGTTGCTTTTAGATTTAAATGGGGCTACTAGAGCTTGTGTATAGGTATGTGGTCAACAGTAACCATCTTCTACATCTGTCATCTTCAGAGCTTCTGTTTTTCTACCTGCTCTATCATAGCCTTCCTTTTGTTTTATTTTTATTTTTAATTGTGCTAAAAACCACATAACATAAAATTTACCATTTTTTTCATTAATTTATTTGAGAGTGTGCACGAGAGAGCACAATTTAGTCGTGTTAACATCGTTGTGCAGCCAAGCTCCAGAACCTTTTCATCCCATAAGACTCTAAACTCTACCCATTCCACAGTTACCCACTCCCCCTGCCCTCAGCCTCTGGCAACCACTATTCCACTTTCTGTTTCTTGTCACAGGCTTTCCTTTGTTGGCGCAGTAAGGCAATAATTCTTCATTATTCCTATGGAAAAAAACAAGTTCCCACAGGGGTGAGATTACAATCAAAATTACAAAATACAAAGAAATAACCCACCATGAGCAAGAGTTTGAACAGATACAACAAACAGAAAAATTAGAGTCAGAGCTTGAGATGAGGGAGTAATAATCGGGGAATAGAAAAATATTATGTTTAAAGTCATTAAACAAAAGAAGGAGCTGAAACCAAAAGAACAATATTTGGAAAAGAACCAGGTAGGATTTTTATTTATTTATTTTAATTTTTTTTTTTTATTTATTT